CTTCTCTGATGCTTGTTTGTTAGAATCACCATTTTTAAATCAATCGTAATATAATACTTAATCTGGTATTTGTAATCCTTTTATGCAGGGCCATTATATTTTTGTAATTTTTTAATGTCCTTCTGGGGAGGAAGAGAGTCTTTTAAGTAGGTTGCCTGTTTAACGACTTCCACATCTTTACTTCAAGCTGAACACAACTAAATGATGTTGGGGCTGAGACTTAGTTTTTGTATTCTATTCATCATGTTGTCCCCTGTTGCCTTTACACACGTCACGCTCCAGCTCTGCCTGTAGCACACCTGTGTTCTCCCAACTGCTGCCTTCATCCCCTATGGCTGTTTCATGTGGAACAGGCTTCAGCAAGTGCTGCCCTGCTGCTTTCCTTACCTGTGTTAAACCTGCTGCTCCCATGGTGCCTGTGAGGACAGGCTTGCACAGGTAGAAGGACAAAGCAACGGGACTCTGTTGGATTCTCAAGTTAACTTAGGTGGAAGCTGATACCACCTAATCAGCTGCAGAATGTTAAAGCTCTGCTGTTTGCATTCTCCACATCTGACATATGGAACAGACTTGCTTGCCCTGATGCTGTGTTTCCCCTTTCCACATAAAATAGCCTGGACTGGTGTCTGGCCTCCATCTTCACAAGTCTTATGACATAAAATTAAATTTTTTGGTTGTGTTCCTGCTGGCCAAAACTCTAAACCTTGTTTTGTTTTGTTTGTTTAAAAACCAACCAAACAAAAAAAGACCCACCAAAAAAGTCCAAACAACTTTCAAGGACGTAACAGTTATTGTCCTCATGTGTTTACTTACCAAGGGCAGTTGCCAGTGTTTTAGTTTGTGAACCAAGCTGTTCTCTAGCCAGATACTCCTTAGATTTTGACACTTTATACTGTATTGCACTCAACCCAGTTAAATAAAATTAGGGGAAGATTCCCAGCCCAAACCCAGATTTGTCACAACAATGACGTAATTAAAAATAAACGCTCAAGCACAGAAGTTAATGTGGCTTCATCCTGATCTATTCTACCAGCCTGGTGTTAAAATTTGCTTAAATCACCCACAGTAATCTTACTGACTCCAGCAGGCTTTGTCTCAGTGCTTTCAACAGGCACAGCAGCATGGCGTTCCCCACTACCTCCAAGAGGATTAGAAAAAGTATGATGGCAGTTTCTTCACACTTGCTTTTCTATTCCTTACTCATTTCAGTCCCATTTTTACCTTTTCTCTTGTACCTTATCTTACAAATGGATAAGCATGGGTGAACAAAAGCGAGTTCCCTCGTTACCTTTATGGGTTGTGGTTATGCTCTCTAAAAATGAGAACACAGTGAGATGTACCCGACTATGGGTACCAGGACATGGATATGCCTTGCCATTCCAATTGGCATGGGAGACAGTGCAAACCCACACCTCACATCATTTGAATGCTCATTTAAAAACTCTCAGAAGGATTTTCCTAAGCTTAAACTGATAAATGCCTTGCACCTGATGGCTGTCCAGACTGCTCATATTTCTGGTGAACACTGCATACAATACAGTAATTTTGTATGATCTGAAAAAATAGGAGGCAAAGACTGTGTGTGTGCGCCACGTGTGGAGACAGCTGCTGAAAATGACCTGGTTTGGCTTCTGAGTGTATGCTTTTTTGGCTTGTTGTCTTCTCTCCGTCCCCATTGCCTTGCCCCCCTTCGGGAGAACTTGGCTACCACAACAACAGCAGATTGCAGGAAGCCCAAGCAACCATATGATGCCCTGCATTCTGTGGCTGTAGATTATGTCAAATATAGAGTATGCGCTCAATTTATAGGGATGATGATGTACAGATTAGTGTTCTTGAAAGGCATTACTGTGTATTTGGGAAGGGAAAATGATGGCATAACCCACTGCAGATTAATATGATTAGCAGATCAAAAAATCCAGGCTGAAGTTGGGCACCCACTATCTGTTGTATTTCAGTGGGATTTGGCCACGTAACTCTCTGGGGCTGTTCCTGATCCTTTGTCCTATGATATACAATGTCTGTGAGCCATTTGTTTCCTTTATCTCTGTTCATACAGTTGTCTGTTGGTATCATGTCAGCAGCTAGTGCTCCCTCTACAAGGTCAGGGTCTCTGCTGCACCAGCAGAGTTGTAGACCTGTAATTTTGCTTACATTCATGGTCTTCTGGGCCAATTTTCAGTGTAAGAGTTTGATAAAGTCTAAGTTACATTTATTCATTTTTATGAGTATTGACAGAGGAGCACAGAAGCTGTCCTAAGTAACAGTCTAGCATTGAAATTTTTAAGATGGTGTCAGAATCGTCCATTATGATGAAATTCCCATCTCTAATCCTGAAAAAAAAATTACTTGAATTATTTTTGAGCTTTAAAAGTTTTCATGGCTGAATTTTTCACAGAAATTACCAGCTTCTTGCAGCAAAGTTAATTAAATTCTAGCAACTTAGAATCTGGGTTTTTGGAGGAGTTGGGGGATTTAAACCTGTTCCTGGAAAACTAAAACAAGAACAAAAACCTGGAAGCCATTTTTATTGCTGCTTTGCCTCCAGAAAGAAATACTCTGGTCTCCTCCCATCACCCAAGATTCAACAGTAAACTTCAAAGACAAGCGAAACAGAAGGATTTGTTGGTGATGTGGTAATAAGTCTGTGCTTTGACAGGATTAAGATACTGTTTTTCTGCAAATATTGGCCACTTCTCTCAGCTCTAGTTATTCACTAGAGCTGCACAACTTGTAAAAATAATTCTCTAGTGGTACATGGCAGGTATTACAAAAAAGATGGACCCGTCTTTGAAATGTAAAGTAATTTTGTCTCACTTTGGAAGTGGAAAGACGATGTTGTAATGCCTTTAGCGATACTGTGAAAAAGAAAGGGATTGATGCATGCTAACTTGCTTTATTAGACCAGATGCCAAAATTACTTCTTTTTTTTGCGCGGTTTACTTTCAGACACGGTACTGGTAGCTCTACAGGTGAGAAGCTCTATCTTTAAAAAAGAAATAAAAAGAAACAGAACCCAACAACCACACACATTGGAAACTTAGCAAAATATTATGGAGATGCACATTTCTAGTGTGAGATGGATTTACATGATCAGGTCAGACAAGGGGTGTAAACTCATGGCAGGACAGGATGCAGATGCTGCTGCAGGACTGCGATGCTGTGAGCCAGCTCTCCAGCTGTGCTGTGACCACACAGACCTGGCGGCGATGCCCAGATTGCTATTGTGGTTAACAGTCTGTGCTGCTCCAGAGCGGCACTTCTATCTTTGTCTGTGGTAACCTCATGCCACACAGTGATGTGGGGGAATGTAATTTCCTTCAGTGCGCAGGAGCAGTGAGCCTGCTGCCCTGAGCACAGACCCCTTCCAGGGTCCCACCTCTGCCAGAGGTGGCCAGCAAACTCATAGAGTGGGAATTGGAGAGGGAGAGCTCAGGTGTTCATCTCTCCAGCTTCACCCTGTGCAGCCTTTCACATACCCTATTTTTGGCCATAGCTGGTTTATGCACAGCTGCTGCAGTGAAGTTTGTTCCAGGTTTATGCCCTGAGCCTCACCTCTGTGTCTACGTGCCCAAAATTTAAGGATCTCTCTTGTGTGTGCGTGCTTTCACAATACATAGCAATATATAAACCTTTGCCGATACTGTAATCTGCTGGGATCAAGATCCAGGATGATAACATAGACTCTGTGGCAGGTTTTTGGTAGCATGTGTAGACAGATTGTTTTCTAGTTCCTATGGGAATGCCAGCTGTAATAGATACGCTGCATACCTGACACCGAAGAGTGCTGCGAGGGATGAGCGCTGGCCTGTCTTGCAGGTCCAGAGGTTGCAGTTGTCGTCTCTTCTCTCCACTTCCCCTACTGCTCAGGAGGACGCTTGGCTTTAACTCTTGGCTACAACACTCCAGGGGCAGCTCTCCTCTCAGCAGCGTGCCCTCTGGGTAGTGTGGGCAGGGCTACCTTGTTTGTGTGATGCCCTTATTCCTCTGTTCTTCTGACTGTGTTCCTTTACTACAGGTCTAAGTTTGTGTAAGGGTGGCCTTGGATATGTCTATGCCAGTAAACTAGAGTGGGCTGGGACACAGGCACAAGCCGGGCTGTGATGGTGTGCTCTGTTAGGTAGCTGGCACGCTTTTCACAGGGTTTTCCCCTATGCCAACAAACATTTTCCTATGCAGTGCCAAGATGTGAGTTGAAGGAGAGGGTAGAGATCCTTCCTTCTGGGCAATATGGAGCAGATCACCCTCCTTGGGGAGGACAGGAGCCAATATGGACCAGGTTACCCTCCTTAGGGAGGACAAGAGCTTAGTTGCATGGATGTAAGCCACGCTGTGCCTGTCGGGGCAGAGATTAGGCCCTAGCATGTTCTGTTTAATAATACAGAAATGGCTTTCTCTTTAATAATGCAGAAATACAGATGAAATGCTGCTTGCATGAAATTGAACAGTTGATTCTCTAGGTGTCCTTTCAAGACTCATGTTCCCCCTTGGGTTTCAGTCATTTGGAAGTTGTTCCTATGTGGAGTTTAGCAAGAGTTATCACTGGGACAGCAGATGACATGGCAGAGCACTTCAGTCACAGAAAACAACCTCCTTTCCCCCTTTTCAAAACACTAGTATTGCAAAAATTACTCCTCTAGGGTTTAGTTTTTCACAGAATGCAATGATTAAAAAGCCTTGTGCTGTGCAACAGGGGGAAAATAGGAAGGCAGAAATATTTAAGTGGGTCTTAGCAATACCCAGAGAATTTATTTTTTAAAAAAAGTAGTCTTTATGGTGATGATAAAATGTTGGCAGCTTTTGATAGCTTGTAAGAACTTCTGGATAAATACTTCATGATCTTTCTATTAAATCCCACACAGCCTCATGAATTCTTCTTGCAAGAGCATTTTATTTTTTTAAAAAGTACATACTAAAACAAACCTAAGATGAGTTGGGACACTGCAGTTCACTTCTGCTTGACAATCTCCAGACTCAATATTTTCTTTTTTCTTTTGCAGGCCGTGTATATGTTTTATGCCTTGGCAATTGTCTGTGATGATTTCTTTGTCCCTTCATTGGAAAAGATTTGCGAAGTAAGTATTAGAAGATGTTACTTAAGCTTGTGTACTGCTTTAGCAGCAGTTCTCCTTGAGAGCCTCAGAACGTGATGATAGTGTATTTACTTGACTTAGAGCATTCTCCATGCTTCTTGTTTAGTTGCTCAACACTGCATGTGTGCATTGGCTCAGCTTCATGTTCTCACTCGCAGGAGATGGGCTGGGAGTCTGCTAGTGGGTAAATTTGGTTGGTGCTCCCTCTGCAAGCTAGCAGTCACCTCTTGAATTACAATTCCTATGTATGCATCGTGCCACTTCTTAAAAATGGAGGCAATTTTTAACATAGTGAAAAACATGTTCTCTAGAGCAGTGATTCCCAAATCAGCCCCATGCTACAGGCTCCCCGGTGGTGCTAGCTGCAGCATGGGTTTCCAGGTAGTAAGCCCAGCAGAGCCTGTTAGCTCGTCATGTGCTCTGCCGCTCACCGCTGCTTTGCTCCTGCCTCTCCAGCTGAGAAACTCTGCCCTTCAGGTAGGATCCAGCTGTCAGAGACTGAGAGGGAGTTACGACATTGTTCGTTGCCCTTGTGGGGAAAAGTACTTTGGTTCAGTTCTGGCTTCAGGCACGTCAGTTGACTCTCTTGGGACTTGGATGATGATAACGTTTTATTTCTTGACTTTTACATGGGAATATTGATCCTTGGGGTGTTTCTGAGTTTTATATACCATTACCTTAGAACTTACAAACCTCCCAAGCATCAGGCTGGGAAAACAAAAAATGCACAAGAGGGTTTAAATGTGTTGGTATTTAAAAAGCCAAAACAAAACCAAAAAAACACCCAGGGGAGGGAGAGATGCCAAGATCAGCCAGCTGCCTGAGAGCTGGATCCTGCCCCTGTGTGTGGTCCTGTCTCCGTGGAACCTGCACCTACCTCCTGCTCACGCTGCCTGGCCAGGGAGAACCTGCACGCTGCTGGTGTGTTCATGCCAGGGCTTACCGGCTCCCGGTGCAGCCCCTTGGCAGGGAGTGCTGCCTGGCCAGAGCAGGACTGCCCTGCACAGACCCACACCAGAGCTGGGTTTGGCTGCTTGGACTTTGGTTAGAAACTAAGTCTTAGTTTAGGTTCAGGACGCTGCAGATGTGCAGTGCGTTTGCTTCCTGGGGCCTTTCAGCTTTGCTTGTGCGGTGCCCACTACAAGAGTTCACAGGCTGATGGCTCTCCAGGTGCTGCAGCCCTTCATGCTGTGGTAGTTGCTGTTGCTGCGTGTTTGTGTGCCTTTCCAGATGCGTCTTCGAAAACACTAGGCCCTAATCTTAGCTGATATAAATTAAAACCTCTGGTGATTTGCCACAGTAGAAATCACAGATCTTGTACCTTACCTTCAAAGTCAGGAGTTTCATGCCTTGCATTGTGTTGGTATAAGTTGTAAAGCAGTATGGACAGCTAGGTCAGCTGTAAAGAAGCTCTTAAACGCTTCCAGCAATTGCAAGGGACTCTGTCTGTCTTTTGCTAAGGTTGACATACTGAAATTTTAGAAGACGAGTACATTTTAGCCTAAATCAGCTCAGACAGCTACAGGGTGAACACAGACCATGTGCCCAAAGTGACTGTGAGCCCTCTCCAATGTCAGTCTCAGGCACTGAAATATTTGCACGTAGAAAACACAGTTTGGTCGTGCCAGTTAGACATCTCTCTCAGCTGGAGGAAGCACCTACCCATCTGCCTGGCAATAAGTGCCACCCATAAGGGCACAGGCTGTGCCTGGCCCTGGGAGGAGGTGTGGGAGACGACAGAAGTCATTTGGGCTGACAGCTCTGATGGAAGTTGTCTCTAAACTTACTTGATATTTGTAGTTCAGCACCCTGCCGTAGAAGCCTTTTTTTGCATCATCAAAAAATAGTCCCCAGGAAATCCCACTGTTTTGGTGCATAAGTATTCAAGTAAGTGAAGGCTGAGAATACAAGGCAGTAGCTTCTCTCCTACAAAGCTGCACTCTCTAGGACTGAATCTAGGAAAAGGCACTGCAAGGTTCAGGAGGAGGGGACCAAGACATTGATGTGGAAGTGGAGATGGGAGATGCTGGAAATGTAAGCATGCTGAATTAGTTATTAATACTTTTCATACAGTCATAGAATGGTTTGGGTTAGAAGGGATCTTAAAGATCCCCATGGGCAGGGACAACTCTGACCAGGTTGCTCAAAGCCTCATCCAACCTGGCCTTGAACACTGCCAGGGAGGGAGCAGCCACAGCTTCTCTGGGCACCCTGTTCCAGTGTCTCACCACCCTCACAGGAAAGAATTTCTTCCTTATATCTAATCTAAATCTGCCCTCTCTCAGTTTAAAACCATTACCCCTTGTCCTGTCCCTACAATCCTGATAAAATGTCCTTCCCCATCTTTCCTGTAGCCCCCTCTAAGTACTGGAAGGCCGCTGTAAGATCTCCCCAGAGCTTTCTTTTCTCTGGGCTGAGAAACCCCAACTCCCTCAGCCTGTCCTCAGAAGGGAGGTGCTCCAGCCCCCTGATCATCTTCTTGGCCTCCTCTGGATTTGCTTGAGCAGGTCCGTGTCCTTCTCATGCTGGGGGCCCCAGAGCTGGACTCAGTACTGCAAGTGGAGTCTCATGAGAGTGGAGTAGAGGAAGAGAATCACCTCCCTCGACCTGCTGGCCACACTTCTCTTGATGCCGCCCAGAACTTGTCTTTCTGGGCTGTGAGTGCACATTGCTGGTTCACAGTCAGTTTTCCACCCAGTACCCCGAGTCCTTCCCCGCAGGGCTGCTCTTAATCCACTCCTTGCCCAACCTGTATTTGTGCTTAGGATTGCCTCTACCCATGTGCAGGACCTTGCACTTGGCCTTCATGAGCTTTGCAGGGGACCACCTCTCCAGCCTGTCCAGGTCCCTCTGAATGGCGTCCCTTCTCTCCAGCGTGACAGTCACACCACACAGCTTGGTGTCTTCGGCAAGCTTGCTGAGGGTGCGCTCAATCCCACTGTCCATGTCGCCAACAAGATGGCCCAGCACCGACCCCTGAGGAATGCCACTCGTCACCTCTCTCCACTTGGACATTGACCCATTGACCGCTGTTTCTGACCATCCAGCCAATTCCTTATCCACCAAGTGGATAAGGCCTTTGATACTGTTTCCCACAGCATTCTCCTGGCAAAACTGGCCACTCGTGGCTTGGATGGGCACACGCTTTGCTGGGTAAAAAACTGGCTGGATGGCCGGGTCCAGAAAGTTGTGGTGAACGGAGTTAAATCCAATTGGCGGCCGGTCACGAGCATTCTTACATTAGTTCCTCTTTGTCGGGATACATTGCTCCTGAGCTTGGAGGAGGTGATACTTGAATATTAACCAGCTTTCTTGGGCTCCTCTTCCCTCCAGGGCTTTATCCCGTGCTACTCTAACAAGCAGATCCCTGAAGAGCCCAAAGTCTGCTCTCCTGAAGTCCAGGGTAGAGAGCTTGCTGTGCACCCTCCTTGCTGCCCTAAGGATCTTGAACTTCATGGTCACTGCAGCCAAGGCTGCCCTCGAGCTTCACACTCCCCACCAGCCCCTCCTTGTTGAGAACAAGGTTCAACACAGCATCTCTCCTCGTTGGCTCCTCTGTCACTTGGAGAAGGAAGTTATCATCAAGGCATTTCAGGAACCCCCTGGATTGCCTATGCACTGCTGTGCTGTCCCTCCAACAGATATCGGGGTGATTGCAGTCCCCCATGAGACCAGGGCTTGTGAACATCAGGCTACTCCTGTCTGTCTATAGAAGACCTCATCTGCTTGGTCTTACTGGTTGGGTGACCTGTAGCAGACCCCCACTGTAATGTCTCCTCTCCCTGCCTTCCTTCTCCTGAACAAGGGAATCCTGCTGGGAATCATGGGTCTAAGCGGCTGGCTCAGGTCACTGTAGATCAGCAGAACCTGAGCTGTGAGTAAGTAGTGTCCAGGACAGGCTTCTATTTTGAGGTGCCGTCACTATGCCTGAGGACAGGCCTGCCACCCAGGGGGACACAGGTGGAGCCAGGATGTTGGGGAAGATTATTATTTCTCTTGACTGAACACTTGTTACATCCTATCTGCAAGTGTAATTTGATTCCTGTCTTTACCTATGGCACAGTGGTCTGATCTGGGTCTGTGGAGCGCTAGCTCCTGTTACAGCCCCACCATGACCTTTCTGAGTGACCTCAGACAAGCTCCATCGCTTCTCCACACCTCTGTTTCCTGCACTGGTCAATAGAAAGCTGGCCAGTAGAAATGTTGGTCCTCTACTGTATTTACAAATTATGGTAGGAAACACCATGCACAGCATTCATGGTTTCTAACTTTACTGGTGGTGAACTCAGTTACAAACAAGAGGCTCACAGACTGAAGTCACTCTCCTTTTACTGTCATTAGCTTTCTATAGGTGCGAGATCTGTAAATCTTTCTGTCTGCCCTGGAAGGTTGATTATAGAGGTGAAAGTCTCATAATTATGGTGCCATTGGTTCTGACAGATTCTTAGATGTCTGTGCAAACCCAAACACATCTGATGTCTAAAAGCCAATCATCCCACATGTGTAATTTTAACATAGTATTATAAGCCCCTGGGTCCTAGAAGGCCACTTTCACTTGACTAGATCTTTGCATTTTGGTTCTTGTCTTCTCAGTAGTACATAACAACTCCTCACGTGCTTTAATGATTCTGAGCCATTGTGTTACCCAACACCACCAATAAAAAAAGATGACAATAAGTTTTATTCAGTTGTGTGTGAAAGAGAAAACTTGGCAATAGAACATTAGATCTAGCATACTTGAGAAGTTACTGTCCAGAAGAAAGATACTCTGTCATTAGAGATAATCAAAATGTGTCATATAAATGGATCAGATTTTTACTATTCTTGTTGCCACTGCTTGATTCTCTCAAAAAGTTTTTTCTAACCCCATAGATGGCCTTTGGGAGAATTCAAGTCCTTTTATTTATTTTATGCATAATTAAGCCATTTTGTAATTACATGATAGCAAAAGAAATACCCATTCCTGTTTCCCGATCCAACTACTTTTGATTTTCTCAGTCCAGAATGGCTTGTCTTCGAAACATCCAGCTTTTCGTGGTTCGTCCTTGATGTTAGCACTTAAGAATGCATGGAAAAAGGCTTGAGTCACTTCACAAAGGCCTCTGCAGCTTTTGGTATCCACTCTTGACGACTATTTTTCTAGGCACTGCAATCCACCCTTGACGATTTTTCTAGGAAAGGGAAGCATTTGTCACTGCTTGGTGACAGCAAATGCTCACACCAACCAACACTTTCCTCATATAAAGACCCCATGAAACGAGTAGATTGACTTGGAGACCCAGGGCTGCCTTGTGACGAGTCCTCCTCCATCACCTGATGAGACAAGACCTGGGGTGTTTTCAAGGGTGAGTCACTTGTTAACTCACAAAAAGTAATCACGAGAGAGAGGGAGCAGGGAAAGAGTCCCTTGACAGGAACTTGCATCTAAGAGGTTGTAGTGGGTATGGCAGTACATTTATTGCGCTTTGCATGCAAACAACTGTAAATGGGAATGACTTGCTCCTGACCTAAGTTCATCAGTAATCTGACTACCACCTACTGTCATATCCAGCACAAAAGACTTCAGACCTCCTGCCTGAAGGCTTTTTTTGTCTTGGAGATCAGCCAGTAGTTATTATACAGTTGCTCACAGTTTAGATGCACTAACTCTAAAATAAATGCCCTTTTTCTGGCTTAGAGTCATCTAGTTTGGAAAGCGGTTATTGAGTTAGACCAACAAGGCATTTGTGCTCCCAAATGTGTGTGTTGAGATGAGAATTTGTTCCAGAACACTTGTCATGGTAGACATTCACATTCTGTCTTAGTTCAGATGTACTTACAATAAAGCCCTGATTTTAATTTGTTTTCTAAAACAGCTTGTACTTGCATTTTCCCAGCTACTCTCTGTTATTGGTGTTAGAGTGTTTACATGGCGCAACTAATGTCATATGTCAATTGCAAACATTTGTCTGCAAATACCAGAGAATGCATTTTTGCCTTCTACATCCTATGCTGTATTTTCTGCTCTGTTGTATTAACTAAACCATCATATGCATTGCAAGAAATTATCTAGGAACTGTCCTGAAGGGAACCTACTATAGCTTTAAATTAAACCATCCCCACCAAAAGCCAGCACAGCTGGTTTCCTTGGCTGAAGGTCTCCTCTTTCAAAAGACACCATTGAGTTGCAGACCAAGTATTGTATTATGACTGTCTGTCTCTATATTTCCATAGAGAATCCTGCAGAAGAAGTTGGCCTTTGGGGATCTAATTCTGGTCCTGTGACCTTCTACAATAGTTTTAATCCTATTTAAAATAATTTTCCATAAAGCTGTGTTTAATCAGGTTCCACAAGCTTTTATAACAGTGCAGTGATGCTGTTGTCTAATGCTTAAAAAGCATTCCTGATGAGGGCACATCTTTTTCTTTTCACTTTGTCCCTGTAGCACATGTACAAAATTTTTTATGTGTGTACAGTCAGCAGATAGAGTTACCTTCTCTTATGAGCCTAGAATATCCTTTGTGGGATCTTCAATTCAGATAAGGTTGTTGGGAGGATTTCTGCAGTCTTGTCTCTGTGCAAATGTACTTTGGTAACAGTAAAGTTGTAGAGAAACCCTGCACCACTACAGAGGAAGAGGGGAGAGGAAGGCTTTTTCCATCCTACCAGGCTGGGTGTGCTGCTTCAAACAGCCAGTTCTGCTGGGGAAGCATCCCCACCACCCTCAGCTGTCTTCCCCTTGCTTGTGCAATGGCAGTCACTGACTCGCATGTGTGCAAGCAAGCCAGCTTTGTGTAGTAACAGCTCAGCAGTTTATGGCTGTATGGTGGGGGGTGGCTTTTTTTAGCTACTCATTAAACCGTGGAAGGTGCCAGCAAGGCATGTGGTCTTTAACAGCCTTGTCGCGTTTCTGAACAGTGACTTGTGCAGATGGAGCAGTGGGAATGCAGAAAACATAAAGGAAGTAATTAACCAAGTAAATCTTTGGAAACGGCATATGCCAATGAAGTTTTCATGGAGTAGCGGGTCCTTTCCCTTCCAGAAACCCCTATTTTAGATAGTCCCTGAGCGCTGCTAGGGGAAGGCTGTAGTAGGTAAGTATCTTCAGTGGTGATCCAAGTGAAAGGGGCTAAGGTTAAATGTCCGAGGCTGAAGTGGTACCAAGGAAGGCAAGTGAGGGTGAACCAAGCCTGAGCTCCAGCCCTACCCTTTACAGGCCAAAGTAGACAAAGTAAGGTGTGTATTGTTGGGGTCATGGAGGAGACAAAGAGCAGTGACTAGTGAAACTCCCTCCCTGTTGTCCAGAGTACTGCTCTTTCTCTCCTCTGTAAAGGGTATCATAGCCACAACCTGCCTTCTCTACAGGGGGATGCTAACTTAAGTAGGCAATGCCCATGATGACTTTTGCCCCTATACTTAAATTTTATTAACATAAAACTTTATACATATCAGTAGTTTACCACTCTTGGCAGACAGTTTAACGTTTCTAGTTTAATTCCTTCAGCCTCTCAGTGTTGTAATCAATGACTCTGATGTGTTTTTCTGCAGCGCTTGCATCTTAGCGAAGATGTGGCTGGGGCAACTTTCATGGCAGCGGGAAGCTCTGCTCCTGAGTTGTTTACATCTGTCATAGGTAACTAATCTGCTGCTGCTTCTTGAAACCTCTGCGTTTCCCTGGCTATTTTTCAGAGTTGAAATGGGATTGCTAAGTGCCTGTAACATTAATACCTGGCCCTTCCCTTGTGGGCATACATAGGACTAATTGTGGGGAATCCTCGCTAGATGAAGTGGCTCTGAAAAAGTGCCATTATCCCACAGTAGGTCTGCCTTGGAAATAGTTTGGTCTGACCCTGTCATGTCAGGGCTGGTAGGCAGTTCACCATAACTGTCCCTTAATCTACCTTGCTGTAGCACTGCCAAACTGTACAGCACTGAGCTCTGCATGTGCAACCTTCTCCCCTCCTATCCACCTCCTGTGCTACCTGCTGCACCTTCTCCAGGATGCAGCGAGAAAGGATGCACCTCCAGCCTCCTGGATTGATACTCAGGTGAACTCTCTGTGTCCCCAGCTGCAGATTCTCTGCCATCACCTCCACTCTGGTTATTCTAACACCACTTTCCTCTGGGAAAGACAGAGTGAGGAGGAGAAGAGGATTTGAAATGCTTTCTCACAGCAACCAGTTGGTCAGAGCATCACACTACTAAAGCAGCTCTCTGTTTATGGGAAGTGTGATCAAGGGATTCAGCAGTCCTTAAGTGTGTGAAACCCGGGAAACTTGTGTGGTCCTTCAACAGCCTTGAGTCAGATGTTATAAAATTACACTGTATGTATGCTGTTTGGCTCAAGGGGAAAGTTTTCTTGCAGTTTTACTCACCCACATCTCTATTGGTAGATGATCACCAGAGCAGCAATTGGGAGGTTAAGGTGGGGGAGAATTATTCTCAGCTTAAATACTTTCTCTAGAAGATATTTCCATTTTAGTCACAGCTATCAGATGCAGAGCACAAATTAATTCACACAAAGCTACATACTCTGCAGAGAGGTCTGATTACACAAGCAATGCCTTGAAATGTAGGAACTTGAACTGGACCAAGTTAGGGTTGTGTTCCAGTTAAGGATAGTGCAGTAGGAGGGTGAAAATAAAACCAGATTCCTTCAAGCAGCTTAGAGCAGGCCTAACAGTCAGGTCATTATCTTTCAGTGGTGTAATCCACCAAGTATGGAGTGTCACTTGGTGGGTGACTGCTTCTGTGTAACATGTTTTGGAGAAAAGGATAAAGTGGGGAAAAATATCTAAACCACACTGGCCAGATAAACACTGTTTGAACCTTGAAAGCAAGTGGTGAATTTAAACAGACTGACAGCTAGCAGGAGATGGAGTGTTATTTTTAGACTGACTTCCGAAGGAAAGATTTCTGTGTAGTACCATGATGCATGTGTCTGTCAGTTCATCTCCCTCACCATTAACCTCATTGGCCAATTTTAACCAAATTTGACAGAAGAGCTCTGAAAGGAGCTTGTAACGTAGCTCCATAACTCATCCTGAGAGGTATCATTCAGCTTGCAAGTAGCTAGTGGCCAGGCAGCTCTGAACCAGCTCCAGCTCAAGCTGCCTGTCTGTTGAAGCTGGTAGGGATGGGGATATGGGGAAGGGCAGAGTACCTGTGAGGGGATGTCTTATGGGAGATAGTTTCCTGCACATTTGTGTCCAACCAGCTGCTCCCGTGGAGCTTACTGGTTTTTGTGATGTGTATTGCCATAATGCTGAATCACAAGACCAAGAGGTTGGTGACTTAGACATGTCTAAGGTATTTGGTTTTCATTAGACAATCTGTCAAAGTCACCTCAGAAAGCAAGTTCTGCCACCTTTATTCACCCTAGTTCCTTTCTCTGCAGTTGCCTTGTTAAATAAGAGAAAAAGTGGCAGAAAAGGTACATGCCTTTAGATTCATTAAAGGGGTGTAAGGTCTGCAATTTTTTATGTTCTTTCCAATTTACACAGCTTGCCTTGAACTTGTTTTCCAGGTGTTTTTATCACAAAAGGAGACGTAGGTGTTGGAACCATCGTAGGCTCGGCTGTATTTAACATTCTCTGTATTATTGGCGTGTGTGGGCTTTTTGCAGGACAGGTAAGAGCATTTAATGATTCCTAACAGTTCTTGCTTCATCCTGTGCCTTGGCTGTACTGTGAAATCAGCTGCCAGGTTCACAACCTTGCCACAAATTTCTCTGGCTTTGTTATTTTTAATAGGGACCTACACTATTCCTCTTGCATTATTGAAATGAAAAGCAGAACAGCAAATGCCAATTCAGGCGTTTTAAGCTGCCCAAGATAAGTGGGTGGTCAAAGGAATAAAAGTTGGTTATTTAACACCTCCTCTTGGTAGCTATTGAAAAAGACATTGTGGCGTTTGTATCTGGTTCTTTTAGACCAAAGGAGCCAGGAAATGTCTGTGCCCATCTGGTAAAAAAGAACTTCAGTGAGCCGTGCAAGATGCCTCTGATAGAATGATGACACTTCTAGAGCAAAAAGATGCTGCCTTTGTGCAAGACAGCTTGAGATATGTGTGTTGAGCCAGCACAATGTTGTTGGTGGCTGGGATGACTTATGAAGTTCTATGAGAAAGATAATGGTCTTTGCTTGTAGTTTATTTCTTTATTTATATCCAGAATCACAGAATGTTTTATGAGGAAAGGACCTCTGGAGGGCACTGATCCAAAGCCCTCACCATCCCAACGCCCTCAACTCAAAGCAGGGCTGATTTCAAAGTTGGATCAGGTTGTTCAGGGCCTTGTCCAGTCAGGTTTTGAATACTTCCAAGGATGCTCCAACTTTTTTCCTCTCTAGCAGTAAGGCTATCCATTCCTAGTATAATTTCTGACTGTTTTGCAGCATGTCAAACGGCTTATGACAACACAAGCTATTCATCTAAAATTAAAGTAATTAAGTTGTGAGATCTGAGCTGCTGTCTGAATTGCAGACATGATTGACTGTATAATTAAATATCTGAACCTGCGTTCATCTTAGCACTTGCTAACATGCCCCATATTTTTATAATCTCATAAAATGTTCTTTGAAATGTTACTGTGCAGACTGATTTGTAAAGAGGAGAAGCAGGTTAACATTATCAATACAGGGCAATAGGATAACTAGCTTAGGAAGAAGAACTTAAGAGAAGGGGCTGGTATAACATGATCAGTACGAGGAAGTGTGCAGAGATATTGGGCTTTCCTGGGCAAGTTTGTAATCCAGTTTTATTTGCATTAGCAATGAACTCTTTCAGGATGAAGGTGAACAATTTCACTGTGAAGAGGCTTCAAGAAGAGCCCATGGTGGTACTTTTTAGCCACCTAAGCTCCCTTGATTTGCATGGGAACATGCAGCTGGAAGGTACACATGCTCAATATGGTTGTGGTTCTGGTCTTTACTATAGAAGTCCAATTGATTCAGGCCAATTTTAATGTCCAAAGCTTTCTCAGGGCATGGAGCTGTGTTCCCCAGAGGTATTCTCCAGTAATCAGTAGGACTTTTTGCTTAGGTTGCTTTTTTTGAGCAAATGAAGATGATGAACTGTTTAGCACAGTGGCAGAGGAACTAATTCTTCTGATTTTTACTCTCCACAGTATTGATTGCAGGCTAAAAATCTAGTTACAAATCACAGCTTTCAGTGGAAAAGGCTTGCTAGAGATTGGGAGTTGAGAGAGAATGTCAGTCATCCTGAGAGACCATTTACAGGTCAGACAAAAAACCCATGTTTGTTACTGAAGGATGTAACACAGCCGTAATGTTCTTGTAAATACCTTCCGCCTTCCAGGCGTGGTAGCTTTCAGAAGTTCAAACGGGGAATTGGCTGCTGTAAGTCATCCTAAGCATGGTCTGTGAGTCTCTCTCAAGCCAAGAACTGAGACTTCAGCTATTTTTTTCCCCAACTTCGTTTTCCCTGACTCTACTAGTGGTTTCATCAAGTCACTTAACATCTATTTGCTGCAGTTTAATTCACAGAGAGGGCTGAGAACTGGAATGACTGATGTCACTTCATGGAATCACGATTTAAATTAGTAAATAAGAAACTTCAGTTTAAATAATTACAATATTCTAGATGAAGGTCTGTTTTGGTTTGTGCTTTTCATTTTTTCCCACTCCCAACCCTTCACCAAAGTCATTCACTTTCACTGGTGTAATTAATCTTTTTGTTTTGTGTTAGTATTACTAGGAATTTGGGTTTATTAGGAGTAATGTCGCTATAGGTGCACTAACACAGGTGGATTTGAATTCTGATGGGACCTGGATCTCAGTTTTGAGTTGCCTTGTAATGGGCCTGGAGGCAGGCCGTCAGTCTAAGCTGCTTGCTGTGCTCCAGCTCTGTTAGAGCAGGGTTTTCTCTTTTGAGCTCAGACCTGTGGAGTCAGCAGGTGGAGTCCTCTGATTTTCAGATGAGACCAGTGAGTCAATGGACTGGGATTTACCAGCCACACTTTGCTGTCTTGTGAGCCTTCCCCAAGGCTGCTCAGGACACAGACCTGTTTTCTGGGACTCCTGCTCTGGAAAGCAACATTCAGGCATCTCAGTTTGAGGCTGGACGGCTTTCAGGTTGGTCAGGTGGAAGGAGAGAAGCAGAGAATTAAGCCTGTGACTGATGATGCTCATGTGGCCTTCGTGATCATCAAAACCTGTCATTAAATACTCTGCTGTCAGGAGGTGGCTGCTGCAGATTGCCAGGGTGGACAAGGAAGGGTTATTGCTCTGTTCCCTCTCTGTTTTACACATGCAATGGCTTTGACAGGGAGGAGACAATTTCAAGATTATTTCACTGCTGATTTCTGCAAGGGACAGCATGGGGGTGATCTCCCCCTTGCCTTCCTGTAACACCTGCCAGCAGTAGCAGCAGTGTTCCAGCCAGAGCTTTTCAGTGTCGATGAGGGCAGTTTGCAGCTGCAGTTGTGGTAGCATGTTGGGGTCCTACTAGCTGCTGTTCGGAAGCTGAGTGGCTTGGTGATAGCAGCAGTCCTGGAGACGGATGAAGAGAGTGTGAGCAGCAGCATTCAGTAAGCTGTAACTCTGTGGCTGGGCTGTTTCATCCCCTTCTGGGCTGCTCAGCTCGGAGCTGGGGGAAGAAATGTCTCTGTGCTGGCGATGTTGGGTCAGCTCCTTGGAAGCAAAGTGCTTGAGAGCGCTGCATTGCCTGTGGGTTGGCAGATCCAGGACTAAAACCTTCAGCGACTTCTGCAGCATTTCCATACGCACTCTTTATTTTTGCAGAACTGTTCAGTATCTTGAGAAAGTCTTTGTTTTGTTTTGTTTTGTTTTCTGGCTGGTAAAAGGTTTAGTTAAAGAATACTGACCAGCTCTCTGCAAGATATGTTTTATTTTTACATTACGTTGTAGTACGTATGTGCTATGCTGGATGTATTATTCTTTGACTTAGGAAAATACTGGGTTTGGCTACATGCACCTTGTTTAAAAAAAAGAAACAAACCCACAACCCCGAAAAGCTGGTATGCATTTTCTTGAACACCAACTCTGATTATTTTTCTAGTGGCTGGTGAGTGCACACTTCTCAGAATAAATCAGAATAGACATCCCACTGCTGGAACTGGAGAAGGAAAGTGTGGTGCTGACACCTCTATATGACACTACACACCTAAAAACTGCATTAAAAGACCATTGTTAAGGTTGAAAGTCAAACACTGAAAAGTTAGAAAATAGCAGTGTTAAGGTTCCTTGTGCAACCTTAATTTGGCCCCCTGGGGTGTATGCATTATTGTACAGTCTTTAATTACAGGATCCCATGCTGGTTTCTCCACAGGATCGCTGCCTCCCTCAGTACACAGAATGGACTTTGCTCACTTAATGAGCAGCTATTCATTATTTTGTTTTCTCTTCATTGTTCAGTGTGTGCCCTTCTGCCTTATTTACCAGGCTCTATTCAAGCCCTGTTCCAGAGGCAGAATTATTAATTTCCTCTTGAACTTCTGCCGATCTCGTTGCTATTGTATCTGAGCAGTTGATGAACAATTAATTAATTTTCCCCAAACGTCTGTGAGATGAAGGGATGTTTTAAAGATGAGGAAACAAAGCACAGAGAGATTAAATACAAAAGAATAACTTGTCATTTTAGGGGCCAATTAGAGCTGGCACGGGCCTGTTTTTTCCCCCGAATGTATAGCATCCTGTGGCATGTTCTTTGTTCAGAGGACAGCTCCCTCTGGCTCCACATGCTGCTCATGCTGCTCCACCTCAGCATTGCACAAGCGTTCCCTTGCTTGAGCTGACCTTGGTTTCAGGGGCTATACAGCCCAACTCTCTTCGGGAGCATTCGGCTGCTTTAGCCACATGAGCCTCTTTTCTTCTCCTAGGTCCCAGCTCATGCTCCACCTTTTGCAAGGGAACACACAAAACAGCTCTGTTGTCATGAGCCCTGGCTTCATCCCTGAGACCATTCTTGCCCTGAATTAAGCAAGTCACTTAGCTGCTTCATCTCCTAACATTCAGTGTTTGCTTTTGCTAGTGTGATGATGTTCCTTCTGAGTACCCAGGTGCTGCAGGTTTCTTTCCATGCCCCACCCCTCACCAATTCTTGAGGCTTGAGAGAAGAGCTTTCTCCAGACAGACTTTTTTCCCCAGTCATGGATCCACCCCATAGCTCACTCTCAAGGATCCAGTTTCCCCCAGTCCCACAGTGGTCTAGACCCTTCTCCTCTCCCCACTCCTCTGCTCTGTGGCTCCTTGACCTAACTTCTCCTAGCTAACTTTATCCATGCCTTTGGAGGTACAGGACCCTGCTGTAGAGCCAGGGCAATCACATTTTCTGCTGCTTTCATCTCCTCTGCCAGTTGCAGACTTTGGAGTACCCCACAGGCAGTTCATACTGGAGCACTTGCGACACATCCTGCCCTTTCTCTGCCTGCAGCTGAAGGACCCTGCCAGCTCTGCTTGAGGCAGCCACCGTGAGAGTCTTCCTTCTGGGTGCATCTCTGAAGTCTTTAAAAGGCCTATAACATGGTTCCCTTAGCCTACATGGCAAGTCTAAAACGGGAAGCCCCTCTGTGCCCACGTGTTCTCCTTGTTCCAGATGCCCAGCAGGTCACAGGCTACACTGCATCCTGATTTGACACACTTCCACTGTGC